ATTTGCAGCTATCAGCTCATCATTCGCATAATTTTTGGCACAGGCAAGACAAGTGAAGAAAACATAATTTAAAAGTGATTTTTGGGCATGTACGGGGAACAGGGCTCATAAAAGAATTGTCCTCAAACCCCTTCCCCTTGGTGCTTTTCTGTTAAATGGAATCTGCATCTTGCCAGTTGAGCCGGGGGGACACCAGTGTGTGGCAGTCAGCCTGGCCTTGCTGTGACTTTTTGCCACATTGCAACAAATCCCCCTCTGTGAGCAGCAGCTCCCTAAGCTGGCTTTCTTGTTCAGCTTTGAAATGAGCTGTAGGCCAGAGATAACCAGGTGTGCCTGGGCTGGCCCTGCCTGCAGTTACAGCTGCGGAGAGGAGGGGGCAGAGAGGAGAGGGGGCTGCGTCCTGGCAACAGCCTCGAAAGTGTAGGACTCCTGGGAAGCTACAGCCAGGAAGTCCCCGGTGACTTAATGTGGTTTAATCAAACAGCTGTCCCTGTGTGGACACTGATGGTCACCCCAGCTCTGGACTCAGGACAGCATGATATTGTCCTCACCTCCCAGTTATGGCTAAAGACCTGCCAGCCTGTGGAGGAGAGATGCCGGTGGCTTTGGGGGTGATGGCCGTAAGCGCCTCGCTTTGGCTTGGCTAGCATGACCTTTATCTTTGGAGTCACAGCACTTCTGAGAGCCTGAGGGGACGTGATAGCCATGACTCTGGGTCGGCTGGCTCCGGGCAGCACTGCCTGACCCACACTGACTGGCAGGACCCGAGCCAGGCAGCGGAGGAAGTCCGCAGATGGGCTATACCCGGCGCTTTCCCTCTGTATCTTTACTCGGGGTCAGATGGTTGGAACTGCCTCGGCATCTCCTTTGCGTTATCCCACTTGCTGCTGAGATTCTCCACGCAGACCTGAGCACTCCTCAGTCACTCCTCCTGTGCCCTCGTCACACGCTGGCCAGGCTCACGGTGGGGCCCACGCTCCTGCTCACAGGAACCCCGGGAGGGGCCAGCTTCACATCCGGCTCTCGTGGCCCACAGGAGGCACCTCAGACAGTCAGTGGCCAACTGGTGCCCTGCTGTGCCTACAAAAGCTGGGAGTGCCCAGCCATGGCACTCGGGCAAGCAAGACCACCAGAACTCCCCGGAAATGAGATGGGGAGAGGGACTTGGAACCCCCAGCTGTGTGGGGGGGCGCTCAGTGACACTGGAAAAGCTCTGCTAAAGCCTTGGAAGTTCATATCTCTTCAGAGACACCTCCTGAGGCCCCACAGTGTACGGGGGCCTGTGTTGGATGCCTCCGCACCCTCTGCTTCCTCTGATCCCCACATTCACAGGTGATAGGTTCAAATCCGGGCTGTCGGAATCAAAGGCCTGTGCAGTTTCATTCAATTTTTTACTCATTCCATTCCATCCCACCTCATCCATCCATCCATCCATCCATCCATCCATCCATCCATCCATCCATCCATTGTTTAGGTCTTTGGCTTCTCACTCAGCTCAGCCCCAGGCCTGGGCCTGCACTGAGAGTGTGGTAAGGGGCCTTTTGCACATGGGTGAAGGTGCCTGACCCAGCTGGGGAGGTCAGGACGGTCTTGACCAGGCCCTGAGCTCTCTTGGGTCTGGATAGGTGTGAGCCAGGGCATGGGGCGCGGCCATGGGGCAGGGCTACTGTGAGGCACAAGGGAGTAAGAGGGTGCCCCAGGGAGGTCAGCGTCCAGAGGACTCTAGATGGGTGCAGTAGATTTAGGACCCTTCTCCCAGGTGTCAGGGTGGTGTGGCCATGGTGACAGAGCTGGAGCCAGCAGCATCCCAGACAAGGAGGGTGGCGCCTGGAGGTGGATCTTTTTCCTAGACATCCGTGTTGCATACAGTCAGTGCCCAATGACTGCATGCTTGTCCCCCGTCCTTGGTGCACTCAGGGGCCCTTTTGAGCACCCAGGCCTTAGTGGAATCCTGGCCTTGGAAGCCTAACCAGTAGGAGCCTTAGAGAGGAGGGCAGAGACCCCTGGGATGAGGGGTAGAGCACTGGGTGCCCTAGTGCAGGCCTGTAATTCCAGCACGTTGGGAGGCTGGGAGGAGGAGGAGGAAGAGGAGGAGGAGGAGGAGGAGGTGGAGGCGGAGGCAGGGGGATCACAAGGTAGAGCCCAGCCTGGGCAAATTAAAGACATTTTTTTTTGCAGAACCGGGGATTGAACTCAGGCCCTTGTGCTTGCCAGGCAAGCACTTATTCTACTGAGCTATCCCCCTGGCCCCCAGATTAAAGACTTAATGAGACCCTGTCTCAAAAATAAGAAAAGGGCTGGGACTAGCTCAGTGCAGAAGTCCCGGGTTCAAACCCCAGCATTGAAGGAGAATGGCAGGGGGTGGGAGAGGGCTACACAGCCTCTGGAAAAGCAGCTCTCTACGGGGAGAGGGCCTGCAGTTCCTCCCAGGGCCGACTCATTCCATCCCTGCTAGTCTAAGAAGAGACCTACAAGAACAGAGAAGCAAGGAGAGCTTAAGTGACCTGCCCAGCAGCTCAGCTCAGCGGCCTCTGAGACTGAATTGAGCCCTGCCTCCTGTGGGGTCCATGTCCGAGCTCTGTCCCACTGAGGAAGCGGGGGGGCCCACTATTAGTGCCATGGGGCTGCCGGCCTGTGCACCTGCCGCTCCTGCCCTGGGTCTCTGTCCCCGGCCTGCTTCCTCTCTTCCTGTCTCCTGTGAGGCGGGGCCTTTCTGACCCTGCAGTTTTGAGCATCTTTGTTACTCCTTACCCTCCAAGCCCACTCTAACTTCCTCCAGGTGCCTGTCACCACCTGAACGCCCCCTCCCTGTCTCCTGGGGGTCTGTCCTCCTCCTTTCCCCAAGGGACCGTGTTGCTCTGCCACCCCTCTGGCACGGAGCACAGCACCCGTGTGGGGCTCCTGGAGAGTCCTCCCTTTTCCTCTTGATCCCCCGTCCCTGCACTGAGGAGGCACCTGCAGCCCCTGTGGGCACTGCCCTGCGCAAGGTCACCCTGCTGGATGAGATGCCAGACTGGGAGCCAGTGGTGTCTCCGCAGCGGTCCCTGCGTGGCTGGGCAGTGCCGTTTTGTGCCGCAAGTGTGGACGCCTCCCAGCTCTCGGGCTGTGCTGGGAAAGCTGCTCCCCCTCCGTGGACCGCCTCGAGGCGGGGAGGCTTGCGTTGCCGCTCCGTGGCTGACAGGCTGCGGCGGAGGCCCCATAAATATTAAATGGGCATTAAAAGAAAGCTCTGCGCTCCCACTTTCCTGGTTCCTCCAAGCAGGGCCCATTGTGAACCCCTTTATGTGAATGCGGAATTGTGTTGGGGAAGCGGTGCCTCCAGGTGCCACCTGCCTCTTCCGGCTGAGTCCCTCCCCACCAGTGTGGGGTGTGGGGTGTGGGGTGTGCGGCTCCCACTCCCCTGGCTGGCCTCTTGCAGAATGAAGGGCTAGCAAGGGAGGGGTGAGGACTCCCCAGGCTTGAGCTGAGCCTGCTGGGCACTCCGCCTGTGCCAGGTTGTGCTAGGCACTAGGGAAAGTGGCCAGATATCCCGCATTCGTCCCTTCTTCCATCCCTCCCCCCCTTCATTTGGCCCAGCCCACAGGGGACACCTGGCTCTTCATGGGACTGTGCCATGTGGCCCCGCCAGAAGTAGGGAGTCCAGGGCAGGCAGGTGGACAGGGCCTGGTATCAGGGAGGGACAAGGCCTGGCCTGTGCGCCTGTGAGGGGGCTGGAGTTCCTGGACCCTGCCTGGCAGTTCCACTCCTCAGGGGCTCCTGGTCTCGCCTGACACTTCCTGTCCCAGCTCCCTGGCAGCTGACCAACCCCGGCAGGGGTCCCAGTGAGTATCAGCGAGCACCTGGCGCATGGTGCCTGCCTGCCTTCTACTCGGGATTCCTGTTTCCTCATTTAACCGTCCCATGCCTTAGAAGGGGGCATTACTGTCATCAGACCCACTTTCTAGAAGAGGAGGCTGAGGCTCACAGAGTTTAGGAACTTGGGCTGATGTCACACAGAAGGTCAGCACCACGCTAGGGCTCAGGTCAAGGTAGTACTGGCGCTGAGCAGGGGGAACCCTGGACTGTGGTGTCTGGTGCCCTTGGGTGCTCCCTGGGCTTCTCCGTGTCTAGCAGCAGCAGTCACAGGCCAGACAGGCACAGGTCAGCCTTCCACCCCTGGGCAGGCAGGGCAGACCTGCTTAGCAGACTTGTTACAGGGAGCAGGAGCAGGTGCGTCGGGGGAGGCACATAGACATTCTTCTGGTCTTCCCGTGTGGTAAGCAGGATGTGTGTGGTGAATCAGGATGTGTTTTTGGGGAACGCATAGGAAGGGGGCGGAGGAGGACGGGAGGACATCACCGTTTTAGTTTACCATGTATGGGGATGATCGAGATTTTTAAAAAATTAATAACCCATTTCTCCTGTGCACATAATTAAAATGTTCTCCAGTCTCTAATTTTTGTCATCTTCCTAATCTAATTTGTTTTCTGAGTGTGTCGATTCTTCTTCCAAGAACAGTGAGGGGGATTTTCCTTCCTGTAACGTGATTGGGGTACAACTGTCCAGGAATAGTTTAAATGACATTATTTTCTCCTTGGTTAAATACAGTGCAAATGGAATCAATTTTTTTGGGGGGGGGTCTTAATGACCAAACACTGAACACAACAACCAAAACAAATCTTTCAAGACACTTCCTATTTACACAGCTAAAAAAAGAATTATGAAAATGAACGAGAAAAATCGATAGTGTCAGTAACAAGGCGTCGGCTGCCGCGCTAGGTCTCCCCGGGCCCTGTGTTTTCAAGATTCCTCACAGCCGGGTTGGAATCTGCCAAACAGAAATTGTAGTCCTGGAAATACAAATGCAAACTGCATTTTCCAGTGGAAAAAAAAATTTCAAAATGATAGCACCGTCAAGCTGTGACTTAAGTCCCTGGCTTGGGGTGTGGACAGGCAGCATCAGAATTCCTACAGTGACCGGGCATTGGGAAGGATTTCTCATGGAGAGATGCCTCTTTCTCCGGCCCCTGAGCCAAGAGCCGGCCTGGCACTGGCTCTGGAAAGCCCCTTCTTCGGGTGCCATGGAGAGAGCTCTTCAGGCGGAGCTGACGTCCAGGAAGGAATTTCACCGGCATCTTCCCCACCTGCTCGGGCTTGCTGGGCTCCGGGCTGTGTGTGGGGATGCCCGAGGGTTATGGGGAGTCGGTGAGGCTGCAGGGGCTCCTTCCTGTCTCCCCATTCTGCAAAGTCCAACTTAACTTCCCTGTTTACAAAATATCAGCCATTGTTTTGTCCCAGCTCCTGGTCACCAGGTAGACTCATGGGGTTTTGTTGGAGGAAAATACAAATATCTCAAGTATTTCAACATGTTGGACCATGCAAGCATCTGTGCTCTGTGTTGTGGGCTGGGTTTTTTTTTTCCTCTTGCCCCTCCCTTCTTTTTTCTTTTTACCAAAGTATATTCATCAAACTGCTGAGTTGGAAAGATTTGTAATGAGTTTCTGAGCTGTACGACTGTGTTTTTTCTCTCCCCCTCCCTCTTCCTAAATCTTCATCTGACATTAAATAAAGCAAATCCCAAACAGATTAACTGTCGCACGGTTCTGCTTCATCTCCTCAGTCTGTTTGCAGGTCTGGCGGGGGGCCGGGCGGCGGTGGCGGAGGCGGTGGCGACGGGAGATGCCTGGGCGGCCCACCGAGGTCCATGTGGCGCTCTAGGTGGGATGCCGGCGTCCTGAAGGCCGAGGCCCTGGCCCTGCTCCCCTGCGGCCTGGGCATGGCCTTCTCGCAGTCCCACGTGATGGCCGCCCGGCGGCACCAGCACAGCAGGCTGCTGATCGAGGTGGATGAGTACAGCTCCAACCCCACGCAGGCCTTCACCTTCTACAACATCAACCAGGGCCGCTTCCAGCCGCCGCACGTGCAGATGTAAGTGACTGCGCCGGGTGTGTGTGCGTGTGCGTGTGCATGCATGCGTGTGTGTGTGTGTGTGTGTGAGTGACAGATACCGGGTTCCAGGACTCTGTGCTTGTGGGCCTGAGGTTCTGCAATCCAGGAAGCTCCAGGAGGGACGGATGGGAGGTTTAGATTGATGGCCAGTGTGGCCCATGGTGGCCATAGTCCTGCTCTACTGGGCCAGTGAACTGCTTCCTAGATATTTAAAGATGATGGGGCTGTTGGGCAAAACCGGAAGGCCTGGCAGCCCTAGCTTGCACATCCTTGGGGCAATGCCTGGGGTGCTCACTTCCCGCAGGCCCACCCCCTTGCTTTGTGGTTTGTGCTGCCAGAAAGGACTTGCCACAGGCCCGTGCTGGTTAGGAGGACGGTCTCAGGCCAGCTGTCCCCGAGTCCTGCCTTCTGTGCTCTGGGGGAGCAGAGAATCTCTACCTACAGGTTTGGGGAGCCCTGCTGCTCCCTCATACTCTGATGGGTGCCCAGCCACCAGGCTATAGAGCCGCTTGGAACAGCACGCATGTTGCACTTCTCCTTGGGTCTGCGTCCTCCAGGGATGATTTGGAGGTCCCGGAGGGTGGGCAGTGGGGCGAGGTAGATAAGCCCCATGCCCACTTTTGTGTCACTTTCCCCTCCTGTCATCACTTGCCCGTCCTCCAACGCAGCTGCCAGAGCTGCCCTGGAAACCAGGTGGCCCAGCCCTAGTGCAGGGCTCTCTCCACACTCAGCCCCTCAGAGTCCAGAGGGACCTGGGGACATCTGCAGGGGTGCCGCCTCCAAATGAGAATTCCGTCCTTTGCTTAGCTTTGCATGTTGTCTTGGGGCACCTGGCTGGTGCTGGGTGGAGGTCACAGTTGAGCCCATTGTAGGGGAGAGACCAGCGATGCCCCACTGACAGCTTGCGGAGGTCAGATCTGTGACAGGACGGGGCAGTCAGTGCTGAGCATGACCCATAAGGGTGCAGTCTATAGCACTGGAGAAGCCGGCCACTTAGGGAACTGGGGGGCGCAGCTTACCCGAGGCCTGGCTTCTGCTAAAGGTGGGTGCTGGGGGGCCTACTCCTTGGGGGAAGGGCCTGGAAGGTGCCAGGTAGGGGCCTGGGAGTGGCTCCCTGTGCCTGGCTTTAGCCCCCTCCTCCAGCAGTGCTTGCTGATGGCCCCACGTGGCCCAAGCCACCTGCTGCTGTATTTGGGGAAAGGCTTCCACTTGGAAAGCTGCCTTTGATTCTCTTTTTGCGACCAGGTCAGTGGACTAGGGCAGAATGGAGGCTTGGGTCTGAGGCATGCTGCTCCTCAGTCCCTGGGCTACTGAGCCTAGCAGGGTGGCTGCAGTGGGGAGCCTCGCTGGGCTGGGTTCTCTTTTTTGGGGCTGAGTTAGTCCTCCAGCCAGGCTGGTCCCAGGTCCCCAGTGTCTTTGGGAGTCCCCTTGTCTCAGAGATTAAAAATGCTGAGTAGAGCTGACATTGGCTGTGCCTCTGCCTGAATCAGGCAGACACCTGGGGAGACTCTGGGCCTGAAAGGCCCCCTCTGGCCAGGTGCCCCATGCACACACACCAAACTAAGTAAAGGATGGAACTCTGGGGGTTAAGCAAAAGGGGCAGTGGGTGGAGCCCCGAGAGAAGGGGGTGTGGGAACCTGTAGGAGACCACACAGACCCTGAGGGTCAGGCTGTGTTCCCAGGAAGGGTGGCAAGGTAGTGACTGAGGGGATGGGTCACTTCTTTCACCTGAGCAAGGAGCAGTGGAGGTCATTCATCCATCCATCCATTCATCCATCCATCCATCCATCCATCCATCCATCCATCTATCCATTCATTCATTCAAACATTCATTTATTCATACATTCATACATTTATTTATTTATTTATTCTTTATTTGGGATGTTTGTGAGCAGGGTTGGGGACCCTGCAGTGATAGAGGATGAACACTCCCCGCATACATGGAGCTTGCATTCCAGGCTGCTGGCAGACAGGTGGCAGAGGTGTCATTAAAACATGTGACACCAGCAGCGATCAGGACAAAGCTTAGTGGCCCTCTGGTCTCCCCCAGGTCCTGACCTCTCCCCCAAAGTATCTGTGTGACACGCCCTGCCTCCAGCAGCAAGGGTCCTCACCTCTCTTGGCAGGGAGAGAATCCTCCAGGTTATGGTTGTTAACCCCAACTTTGCACAGAGCTGTGAAGCTGTGGTGGGCACAGGTACTTGGGGGGCTACTGCCCCCACTCTTGATTCAGACCCTGGGCTCTGTACCAGGGAAGCGTGCAGGCAGCTGGAGGTGGCATTGTGGGTTTCCATGGTGAGCCGGCCCTGGCCTGGCTCAGGGAGAGGCAGGAGGGCAGTGCCACTTCCCGACGTGGGATTTCCTGCCTCCCTGGGCTTAGTTTCTGGGGTGAAGGAGCAAGGGGACCTTATTTAATAAACCCACAATTTATATTTAATAAAGAAACAGCGAAAGCGCAGAGACGGCCTCTTATTGAGCTGTGCGATTTATGCGGCTGCCCCAGAGACCCTGCTGCAAAGGACCTGATGCCTTCGTGATGAGTCTTTACCACCTGGCCTGGGGGCCTCGGGGCGCCCAGGTGGGGCAGGGAAGCCTGGTGGTCATGGAGAAGGTGAGAGCAGGTGTGGAGGGGCAGGGTCCCCTGGAGATCTGTATCTCTTCCCTGTGCACTTTAAGAGGAGCCATGGGGGACCCTGGGTCATCCCTTCCCCACCCCCTGAGGCCTTTGGGCTGTGGTTGTCTTAGTAGGTTGTCTCTACAGCTCGGAGGGTGGAATCCAGGGCCTCAAAGGCCCTGGCTGCTTGGTCTTGTAGCAGGAGAGGAGGGCAGTGAGAGCAGGTGGGAGGAACGCCTCTGGGCCACACCAGCTTGGCACACCAATTGTAGCCTGGGCACACCTGGCCCTCCAGTGCCTCCTGCACCCTGTCCTGCCTGGCAGTAGGCACAGCAGCACCTCTGGTCCCCACATCCTCCCCCCCAGGCCTGCGCTTGCTCCTCCCTCTGCTTCTCCACCTCTGCACTGCTCAGATCTCACTGGGAGGCCAGGGCCCAGCCCCTCTGCTCCCACCAGCACTCTGGGAGCTCAGAGCTCCCGTGTGGTGTGACACTTGGTCCCTGTCCAAAGGATCATTTCCCGGGTGCCTCTGCCCCATCCCTGAACCCCACAGAGAACGGAGGAAAGAGGGTGGGGTCCTGGGGGAGTGACAGTCTCTGCTTCCTGGGCTCAAGCAATTGTTTAATACCGGGACAGTGCTGCCAGGGAGCCAGTGACTTCGAGAGACAGAGACTGGGGCAGGGAAGGGGACTTTGGGGATGTTGGCATCAGTGCGCCAAGCTGGGATGGAAGGTCAGGCTCTGAGCAGCAGCAGAGCTGGCCGGTGCCTGCGGGCCTGCTCACCCACCTGGGGCCATGCCCTCTGCTTTGCACACTCCTGCCACCCTCATGCCCTGGGAGGAGCACGGTAGGCTAGGAGAGCTGTCAGGGGGTTCGGGCCTTGGAGCCCCCAGCAGGCAGGAGCCTCTAGGAACCTAGTTTGGCTCCAAGAAAGAGAAAACCTCTGTTTCTCTGCTTTTGTGTCTTGCCTGGTAGGATGTCCTTGGGAAATGACCAGTGTGCCTTTTACTTTTTCCTGTCACAAGGAGGTGCTGTGGTTAGATGCCCACATTCCAGGTGTGTGGGCCTGAGCTCATTCCGATTCTTCAGCTTAGTACCCTGGGCCTTGGGCATGGGACTTCCTTCCTCAGTGGCTGAGTCCTTGGAGTTGCTGTGAGTTAGCTGTTAGCTGCAGTTCTGTTGTTGCAGGTGCCAGAAACACAGCTTCAGTTGCCCTAGGGATGAAAAGGAGTTTATGCAGCTGATGAAGGTAGCTGAGGAGTTCAGGCTCCAGTCTAGCCTCAGGTACAGCTGAATCTAGGAGTCCAGTGGTACCTTCTCATAGATTCTTTCTATGTATCTCTTAATTTCCTAATTTCTTCCCATTGCTAAAGGCAGGCAGGGGTACTGGGGGCTCCTTGCTGGGGGCCTCTGTGGGTGGTCCCTCTGCAGGTGCACCCTTCCTGCCTAGCAGCCTGACATTTAGCAGCTCGTGTCTAAGCATCTGGCCGTGAGTCCTAGAAATACCCTAGCCTGCTGTGAGTTCTGGAACCAAAATACATTTCAGATTTCAGTTTCAGCTTGCCCTGCTTCCATGCCCGAGCCCATGGGTCCATCAAACTTTCCCAAGCCTCGGTTTTCTCCTCTGTAAAATGGGGTCACCCACAGCATGCTGCTCAGAGGTCAGCAGGGAGGCAAAGAAAGTCAGTGAGGGCTGGAGAGATGGCTCAGTGGTCTAAAGCACCTATTTGGAACAAGCTTGGAAAAGCATAGGGACCGCCGTTCGATCCCCCAGCACCACATGCCAGCCAGCCGCGCCCCCTGGTGGGCTGAGCTGGCCACACACACACGCACACACACACACACACAATAATAAAATGTTCAAAAAAAAATAAAAAAAAATAAAAAAAAAAAGAAAGTCAGTGAGCGTCACATGCCAAGCGTGGAATCGCGCAGGCGCCCGATCAGCACCGTTATTATCTCAAGCTTGGGAATTTGTACCGTCCCAGTAGCCGGAGGACAGAACAGGAAATAAGTCTTTCTGTTTTTCTCTAGGGATTGCTGGGTTTCTATCTTCTCTGTGTGCAGAAGCCTCAGGGTGCAGGGAAATAAGGCAGAGTTAATTAAAGAGCTCCGCTGCCGCAGCAGGCCCAGCCTGGAGAGCCCAGGCTGCGTGGCGGAGGGCTGAGCTGGGCCGCGCAGGGTCCTGGGTTCCACAGGTATTTTGGAGACTGTGGGGCCCAGCGAAGAAGCATCAGTGGCTTTGCACATTATGTCTTTTTGACTTGGTACTTGCACTTTGAGACTGTTCAGAAGTAGAGGTGGGGAGGATATGAATGGATGGATTTGATTGGCTCGCTCCAGTTCTTGGGCCGGCTGAGAGCCATGTACTGATTGGCGGGCGTTTGGTCCTCTCAGCTGCCTGGACAGAAGGCTGTGCAGGTGCCTTGGCCAGCTACTTGCACGACTATCAGTCTTGTACAGCCCATTCTGGGGTCCCACAGGATGGAGGGAGGCAGCAGAGCGCTGGGGAGAGCAGCCCAGCTTCCAGGCTAGCTCCGGCACTGCCTCCTGCTGGAAGCTTCCAGGAGGACCCAGACTGGCTCTGGCCCAAGGCAGGCCCCCAGCCCTTCCAGTGCTGTGTCATAGCTGGTGGCTTTGTGGTCGCTGGCTGGCTGAGTCTGTCTCTGCCATCCACTGGGGACATCTGGTGGGCAGTGATGGAGCCCAGTTCACCTCTGGGCTCCCCTGCTGGCTTGGCAGAGCAGGCACTCAGGATGCCTTAGGGAGGGCGGAAGGGAGGCAGAGAGGGATGGACAGAGGGAGAGAGGCGAGGAAGAGCCCCCATTTTCCTGGCCGATCAACACAGGCACACTCAGGGAATGGGAAGTTCGCCCCAGTCTGACCTGCTGGGATCCCCCGGGGCCTCCCGCGTGTCCCCTCACTGTGTGACCTTGACCCAGGGGGGGAGGCCTGCGCAGCCCCTCCACCTGCCTCGATCGGGCACGCAGATGCACCCTGCACGTTAGCATGCTGAACCCACATCTCTCATAAGGTGTTAATTAAATTTCTTCGAAATATATTGTCTGAAAAAAAAGGATAATTAGAAAGATGTCTTTAAAAGTATTTATGTAACTGATACGGCACCGCTTCTGGTTTGCCGCGTAATTAGATTTAAGCACAACTTCTCAAGTGGCATAGTCATTTGGAGCGAGCTGCTTTTTGAAATGTCATTGCGTTGTTTTCAAGCGTTTGGAGCCTGGCGGAGCTGTTCCGCTGGGGAGGTGGCTGGGGTGGGAAGAGCCCTGGGCAGGGAGCTGGGGGCGGGGTCCTCTCCCCGGTTCACCCTCAGGCCCTGGGGACCCCGAGCCACAGGCTTAGCCTGCGGGACATCAGAGTCCTTGTCTGCAAAAAGAGGGCCACCAGGGGTCCCCCAGAGTGCTTTTGCCTGGGGAGGCAGCTCTGTTTTACAGCTGTGCACACCTGCGAGTGCTGCTTAGGCTCACGCCTGAGTGATGAGCAGCGGAACTTGGGAAGGAAGCCCGGGCTGCGATTCCCAAGGCGGGCCGCCTTCCCCCGCCCGAGGGGCTCCGGCTCGAGGCCGATCTCACTCCCTCACCGCTCGCAAAAATCATCTCCTGGGTTTGAGTGCCTGTGCTCCACGACTGCCGGAGGACTCCGCCTTTCCCACAGCGCTGTCCTCGGATCTGCCTGGGCTCCGCTCAGCTCCAGGGTCAGCTCTCTACAGACCAGGGACTTCAGTCCCTGCGAACTCGAAGGGTGCAGTCGCGCCCCCCGGTGGCGGAAATGTTTTGTGACGGGTGAAAAAAATTGACCCTTCTGTCTGCATGCCGTATGGGGATAGATGTACAGCCTCCGTGGTACTGAAATCTCATGGAACTAGATGGTAGGCACCAGAGACTGGGAAGTGCAGCTTTAGTCCAGAGCATGCAGGTCACAGGGAACAGAGAGTCACTCGTGACCTTTTGACCTCCACCAATTGTTAAGAGGTTCCCATGCTGCACGGGAGAAAACAGGCTCAGCCGGCAAACGCGTTGTGCTCGGGTCTGGATCTAGACCTCTGTAGGCTCTCTGGAAGGCTGGGGACTGGGTCCATGGACCCAATTGGACCTGCAGGACGAGACCTGCTGACCTGCTGACCTGCACACCTGCAAGCTCTTGGCCCTGCAGTGCCGTGAGCTCCAGTGTCTCCTCTTTCCACAGGGTGGACCCGGTGCCACATGACGCCCCCAAGCCACCTGGCTACACGCGCTTCGTCTGTGTCTCTGACACCCACTCGAGGACAGACCCCATCCAGATGCCCTACGGCGACGTGCTGATCCACGCCGGGGATTTCACAGAGCTGGGGCTCCCAAGCGAGGTGAAGAAATTCAACGAGTGGCTGGGTAGGTCCCCGGCAGGTGGCCTGTCCTGCTGCTCTGCCCAGCACTCTCTTGGCCATTACTGTGCCTGTCCCACACGCCCCCTGAGCGCTTGGACTTCCCAGCTAGCACCTGGCTTTCCACTGTGAGGTTAATTCTGAAGTGGGGCTGGCCCTTCTCATGGAAGCCTGGCTCGTGATTGCTTTTCCCAGTCCCCAGTGCCCTGCACCAGGAAGTGATGGTGAATGAATGAATGGGTGGGTGTGTGAGCAAATGAATGAATCACTCTGGCAGTGCCAGTGCAGGTCCTTGGCCATGCGTCCTGTACCAGCTGGGCCACACCTCGAAGGGACATCTCATCCTGCAGTCCCTGCTTGAGCCTTGGGGCCAGAAGTGGCTCCTCCCATGGCCAAATGTTGGCCTCAATGTGGGGCACTGCCTGCGTGGTGGCCCAGTGAGTGATGATTTCTGAGCACATCCCTTGGGTTTTGTACCCCTCCCATCAGAAAGAAACTGGGTGTGCCTGTTGGGAGAACACGCTTGCCTGCAATCCAGAGAAACATCCCAGTGAAGTGTCTTCACCCCACCTGCCAGGGATCAGGCCTGCTGGGGTGGAGACGAGGTGCAGGGCTGACCCAGCTGCATGCATAACGTAGCCCCCACAGTCCCCATGGCTGCCAGAGGTCCCCTTGCCTCCCCAGGGCCCTCCTGGGCAGCTGTCCTGGTGCCTTGGAGCAGAGGGCCTGGAGCGTGGCAGGCCAGCTGCAGCAGCAAGAGGCTGGGCTTTGCCAACAGAGACAAATATTTACAAGCAAGGCCTGCTCCTCCCCTTGGCAGGTTCTGTGCTTTAAATATTGATTTTTCAAATGGGAAATTCTAATTCTTGCAGGGCCCGCAGTGTGTGAAGGCTGGGGTCGGCGAGGGCTCCTGCGGGACTCGCTGGCTATGTTGTCTCTGATTCTATGCCAGGCTGTCCCCTAGCAGGGACTTCAGCTGAACCTGGCTCCTTACCCACCTGCTGTGGGGCTCAGAAGATGCGGAGCCCCACTTGGCTGGTTCAGGAGTCTTTTAGGGGCAGAGGCCGATGCTCACCATGGGTGAGCACCCATTCAGTGCCAAGCGCCATGATCAGGCTCCCTTCCCATGTCTGCCTCATCGCGGTTGGCAGCAGCTGGGTGCAGTGGTTCATATTTGCATTTCCCTTGAAGGGAGGAAAATTGGCCACAACAGGCTTTCGTTAAAGTGGAGCAAATGAATGAACCACATGACCCGGCCCCTGGGCTGTGGCTGTAGGGACCAGGAGTTCTCCAGGAAGGTGATGGAGGAGGTGGCAGTTTGCATCTGGAAGGGAGAAGTCATGTGCCTTGGCTGGAACAAGGGAACTTGGGGGCACCCTGGTGACAGTGGCCTAACTGTGGCGGTGTTAAGGGGACTAGGAAGGTTGCGGCCTGGCAGAGCCAGCATGTGGGGTGGGCATTGTGGAAGGATCTCTTCCTGCTGCTCAGCAGCAGTTTGGATTTGGGAGGAGGCTACATTCTGGACACCATGGCCTGGTGGTGTCCTGTTTGTCTGCATCGTTCCGGGTGGACAGCGATGGCTTTCACAGTTTCCTTTCACCGACAGCGCGTCCCCGGCCTCTCTCAGGTTTTGTTTCTGCTGCCTTGAGATTTGCAGATGTCAGGGCTGTCCCTCGAGTGGAGCAGCTCTGGATGGAAGGAGAGCCGCCTCCACCACCTGATGGAGAGCCTGGGAGTTGGCTCACGAGTCAGTGCAGAAGCCACAGTGCTCCGAGGGAGTCCGCCAGCTACCGATTTCGGGGAAGCCTCCTTGGATCCGAGGTTCACCTTCCTGGGCCGTGGGCCTGGTCTCTTGGGCTCAGGCGTCACAGCAGAGACATGGGCTGGGCATGGCAGGGTAGTCCGCCTTGCATGGGCGCTGGTCTTTAGTTAGTGAGCACTTGGTGTGTGCGGGCCCTGTGCTGTGCCTTTGAGTGTTGTTGACTCATTTAACTTTCTGATGGTGGGCAAGGCGGAGCTATTGCTTCTCTACTTTTTAGGCACAAAACCCAGGCCCAGAGGAGTGAGGGAACTCGCCCAAGGCCGCGTGGCTCAGTGGGAGCAGAGCTGGGGTTCAGGCCCAGGCAGTAGGACGCACGCACTCTTGGCGTCTTTTCCTGTGCTCAGGGTGAAATGTCTCTGCCGAGAGGTGAGGCATGGACTCTGTTACCTGGACCCGGGCACCTCGATCTGTGTCCTGCCTGGGTGACCACGGCAGCTGCATGACTTCTCTGGACCTCTGTGGCCTTGTTTTAAATATAAGTGGCCAGGCTTCCCTCGTGTTGCCCACAGATGATCTCCTCTGGGGAAGTCAAGTTTTGTAAACTGTGAGGTGCTGAGTGTGTGCTACTGTCGCTCCTTGAACTGGCATGTTCAAGATGAGGATTCTCTTTGGTGGGAGTAGGCTGAGGCAGGAGGATTGTAAAGTCCCAGCTTAGCATGAACAATTGAGGGAACTAGTGAGATCCTGGGGGGGGGCGGTGGAAGAGAAGCTGGGGATTTAGCTCAGTGCAAAGGCTCTGAGTTCAATCTCCAATATTAGGAAAAAAAAAAAGAGCCCTTCGAGAAGTGACAGGTGTCTGCTAAGGAAGGACGCCAAGTGTGATGGAGGGGGCTGGGTAGGGTTTAGCTGGTCCAGGTGCAGGAGTTGGGGTTGACACCCAGTGTCTCGGCAGCACTGGGGAGGCTGTGGGGGGTGGACTTTGCAGAGTTTTCTGAAGCTGCCCTGGACTGCCCTGGGTGAAGGCAGCCAGGGCTGAGGCTGCAGAATGTTCTAGAATTACAGTTGGGGTTAGGGGAGCATGGGAAATTATTTTCTGCTTTATGATTTTTCTGTTTCCTGATTTCCTAAAGGGAGCATGCATTTTTCTGGTGGTATATATATATGCAAAACTCATTGTTCTTTTTTATTGGTATTTGTGGTGCATAATGCATGCATTCAGTCTGGGGGATTTGGCCTCATCTGTGTTGTACCCTGATGATTTTCAACTCTCTTTCCCCCACCTCTTCCTCTCTTTCCCTGGTCCCCTTCCCTATCCCTGAGGGATCTGCTTCCCTGTCCCACCTGCTCACCTTTGCTCTACTCCTCATTTATATTTAGGGTTTCTCAGGTAAGCGACACCAAGTGCTCTTTCACTTTTGGTATCTGACTGATTTCTCTGAGCGCTGTGGGCTCGAGTTGAGGAAACCCTGGCCTCCCTGGTGTCTTATGCAGTGTTGCCTGGTATGGCTGGGATGGCACTGGGCCTGGCTGTGTTCTGGGTCACTGGGCTGCTGCTGTGAGGCTGAGAGCCCTCCCTGTGTCCTGGGTCCTGCCCCTGGGAAGGACTCAGACTGGAAACCCAGTTAGTCTCGACATGCTCTGGCATCTGATTGTGCAGTGGGGTCACCCAGTTTGCTGTCCCAAGCCCTGCCCTGGGCAGCACCTGTGCTCAGCCCGTCTGGGTCCCTGGAGGGGGCTGGGTTTGGGGTGACAGTGCCCGTCTGTGGGGACCCTCTGTTCTCTTGGCCATTAACGTCCCAGGTATACTCATGACAACGAAATGCCATCTTCATTTGTGGCTGTCCCAGTAAGCGGCTCAAAAATGGCTGCAAGCGTGCACTTCAGTTACAAAGAGCCGGGGAAGGCCGAGACCATGCTGGCATCTGGGCTCCTCCATGGCCAGCGACATGGTGGCCATCCCACCCCAAGAAGTGGCCTGTCCATCTCTGAAGTGAGGCCATCAGGCTGGATTCTGCTTCCATCTGAGTGACAGCCACACCTGCAAGGCTGTCAGCCTGAGAGCTGGGATCTGCATGATGCCAGAAAGTTTGGTGTCCATCATTGCAGGGGCCAGGCTGGCTTCTGCCTGTGCCTCCTAGAGTGATGGCCCAGAGCCCCAGGGGCCTTGTCCCCAGCCTCTGCCAGGTGGGGCCTCCTCCCCAGCTTCCCTGCCAGCCCCCCAGGCTTCTCCATCCGCTCCTCCTGTTCCCACTCCCAGGGGCTCCCAACAAGGCCCATCCTTGGGCTTCTCAAGCACGGACACCCAGAGCCCTAGCTCCCACCCAGCCCTGCAGAATGCCTGCCTCCCTCTTCACAGCTGGTGCCTCCCCAAGATGCCTCCTCTTCCTTGGGGTCCACCAGGATTTCCCACTCCCGGGGTCCCACACTGATGCCCCGAAGGGACTCCACCGATGGGGGCTCCACCCTCCTCCCATCCCCTCTGAGGCTGATGCCAGCTGCTCCTGCTGCTCCTCGGTCCCTGCTGCCATGTCTGCCCCATGACAGGCTGTCCCCTCTGCTAACTCAATCCCCTGCGAAGTTGCCCGGGCACTGGCTGGAGCCCAGCTTTCTCCTTTAGGGTCCTGCACAATGCTGAGGGCAGGGTTGCTCTGGGTCAGCGTGGTGCCCAGGGGATGCCAGGCTGGGTGGGTAGAATGGGGCACAGCAAGGCCTGCGAGGCGCACGACGAACCAGTTAATTAAGCGGCGCTGCCCAAGCAATCAGGCAGGGAGGAAGGGGATGGCCCTTAATGGAGTATTTAGAAGTTATAATTAACTTTTTGCTGGCGTCCTAGCATAGAGCCATATATATATGACAATATAAAAGGGGTCCAAGGATTTAGTTAAATAGAGCTAGGTCTTTTGCAAGTAAACCCTTAATTAAAATCTGCCAGGGAGGAAGGAGAAGAAAGGGAGATGAGAATTCTTCGAGGCGGATGCTCCGGTGCTTGCCTCCTTTGCTGCGTGTCAGGGCTGAGGCCCACACTTTGCTTTTTTCTAAAACCCCACCAGGGCCAAGGTGGGGTGAGGGCTCCATGCAGCTCAGGGGCATGGAAATGTTAATGATGGGGGTGGAGAACAGTTTAGGCACAGCAGCTAGAGCTTGACTGTCCGGCGTCCTCCCCTGCCCACCCCAAGCGTCCCTGTCCCCCTGGCTGCCCTGGCCCCTCTCCTGGGGGACCCCAGGCTCGTCTCCCAGTATGTCAC